ATCGAATACGTTGCCTCTGAAAACTACACAAACTGACAAAAGCTTGTCAAACATTGCACCTTCAGCAACTTCGCTTGCATTTTCCGACTTAGCGAGTCCAAAATATAAAATAAAGGTCCAAACAGACACGGAACGTTATGTAGATATGAAACGAAAATCTAGTCCTCAAAAAAGCGATCCAAAAGGTGCTAAAATAACTAAAACTATTAAAGATAGTGTATCTACAAGCATTCTTTCTGGCAATAGATTTGCTGAATTAGCTGAAACTACAGAGGAAGCTAATCACCCTATTACCAAAAATTGTAAACCGCCTCCAATCCACCTGAGTGAACGCAGCTCAAATAACCTAGTTACGGTCCTTGCACGTCTGATTGCAAATAATACATTTCATACTGTTCCCATGACTAGGGGCAATATACACGAAACCAAAATCCAAATCGACACTGAACACAATTTTAGGGTCATAACCAAATATTTCGAAGACAGCAAAAAAATTACTACACATACCAACTGAAGAGTAGTAAAGACCCTGTTGTCGTCACTAAAGGTATTGAGTCAGATGTAGAACCCATTGAGATAACAAATACCCTAAGCGAAAAAGGCTTTAGCGCTAGAGCAGTTATAAACATTGTTAACAAAGATAAAATCCCACAATCTATGTTCAAAGTTGGACTTCACCCGGAAGCTGCTAAACTTAAAAAAATGAGAGCCATCCCATTTACAACCTACAGTATTTACTTTACCGAATTAGCGTTGAGGAGCCCCACAAAAGAAATGGGCCGGTGCAATACACAAACTGCCAAGAGTATGGCCATACCAAGTCATATTGCACTCTTCGTACAGTGTGCGTAGCTTGTGATGAGCTTCATAGTTCCGAATGCCATGAAAGCATTAAAGGATACCAACTCCAAAAAATGTAGCACTTGCAGTGGAAATCACACTGCAAACTACAGAAGCTGTCCTATTTATAAAGAACTGAAGCACAGGTTAGCTCTGCAGAAAGAAGCGTTGCGTAATCCTACAAGAAGCAACCCTATTAAATTAGTTGAAGTACCTCAACCTTTAACTTCTAGGCCTGTTACACAAGGTGTTTCATATGCTAATGTCGTTAAATCTGACAAGCAACAAGCCCCTCCAGTTCAAAGTAATAGTTTGGAAATGATGATCTCCACTCTCACCCAAAGCTTAACTCAATTCATGTCAATCATGCAAACTACTCTTAACGAGATAGTTAAAATGCAAAGCCAATTAATGCAAATGTTTTTGTCTAATAAATAAATACTTTAAAAATTTGTACATGGAATGCAAACGTTTTAAGCCATCATAAACTTGAACTCACAAATTTTATGTTCCGAGAAAGTGGGGATGTAATACCTCGGTCAGAAACACATCTAACAAACAAAAATTTCTTTTCTATTCCTGGTTATTTATTCTATAAAACCAATCACCCAGATGGCAAAGCACATGGTGGTACAGGTATTTTAATACGAAGGCGTCTAAAACACAATTTTCTAGGTGCATATGCTCATAACTATATGCAAGCAACATCAATATGCCTTAAGTACAAAGGAAAAAATTTAACTTTATCAGCAGTTTACTGCCCCCCTCGCTTCAACATTACTAAGCTCCAATTTACGGATTACTTCTTAACTCTAGGTGAAAGATTATCTGCGGCGGGAGACTACAACGCTAAGCACACGTATTGGGGTTCACGACTCTGTAATTCAAAAGGAAAACACCTCCACAATTCCATTCTAAATAGAAAAAATGCATTAGACGTAATTTCTCCTGGGCAGTTAACATATTGGTCTGCTGATAACAATAAAATACCAGACCTAATAGACTTCGCCGTGACCAAAGGCATAAGCAAAAATTTTACCTCAACATACACTAGCTGCGATTTGTTTTCTGTCCATTTCCCAGTCACATTTTGCTTACTTGATGGTCCTCAGTTATACGACTGTTCCTATAGCCTTACAAGTCCTAGAACAAACTGGGTCAAATATAAAAAGTACATTAATTCACACATTGACACAAATTACAAGATAACGTGTAAGTCTCATATTGAGGATGCAACCTCGGTTTTGAACTCAATTCTGATTTCAGCAGAAGAAAACTCCACCACTAAAGACAATAAAATATACAGATTCAATAAAATACTTACAAATAATGACATAGAGAATTTAATTTTACAAAAACGTAGATTAAGGCGTGAATGGAAAAAATCTAGGTCCCCTTTGGCAAAAAACTTATTTAAGGAATCCCAAAGGAGACTTAGATCTGCATTAAGTAATTAAACCAAAATCAGGCAATATAATCATATTCAAAACCTATGTTCAAATGACAAAAACCATTCATCCTTGTGGAATGCTAGCAAAGGTATAAATTCCCCCATAGAATCCGATTCTCCAATAAGTAACATAACTCTCTCGGAAACTGGACGTGAAATGATGAAGAAAAATCTACCGTTTTTGCTGATTACCTAAAAGAGGTGTTACAACCAAATCCTGCAACAGGACATTATGACTTTCCCACTCAAGATCCACCAGTACCATCTATTGACATGAATATCACGGCCAATGATCTTGTCCAAATAATCACAAATAAGTCAGATTGCAAAAAGGTACCGGGATATGATAATATCTCACCCATCATGATAAAAAACTAACCCCTTTTGGCTATAAATTTTATCACAAGACTTTTTAATGCTATTATTAAATTTGGTTTTTACCCAACAGAGTAGAAAACAATCATGATTATTATGATTCATAAAATAGGTAAAGATCCCACACTTGCCTCTTCATACAGACCAATAAGCTTACTGCCATGCCTTTCTAAGCTCTTTGAAAGAGCACTGCTTTTAAAGCTAAAACCGTTCCTTAACATTCAAAACTTAATACCCTCCCACCAGTTTGGTTTTAGGGAAAAACATGGAACCATTGAGCAAGTGAATAGTATAACGAATGAAATAAGAAACGCATTTTAGCTCAGACAATATTGTTCCGCGGTATACCTTGATGTTAAACAATCATTTGATAAAGTATGGCATAATGGACTCATATATAAGATACGCTGTTCATTACCTGCATATATCCACTCAGTTTTAGAATCATATCTGCATAATAGAAGCTTAAAAGTGAAATGTAAATCATATACTTCTAATAATTTCCCAACAAAAGCTGGCGTTCCACAAGGAAGTGTTCCTAGCCCTATTTTGTATGTACTTTACACATCTGATATCCCGATAAGTAGTTCAGTTGTCACCACAACGTTTGCCGATGATACGGCAATTTTATGCCGAAACAAAAACGCTGAGTTAACTTTAAACCAACTTCAATCTCACTTATTTCGGGTTGAGAAATGGTGTAAAAAATGCGAATTAAATAACAACTAAATGTGACACGCATTTCACTTAAATCGGAGACACTCCAACAAATTTTACTAACAACATTCCTACCACAAGCAAAATATAATACTAAGACCACCAGACAGACGACTAACTTGGGCAACGATTTGAAGCCAAAAAAACAGAAAACTCAACTTCTAATTGCATTGGCTCATAATAAGCGATTTCCCTGGCCTAGGTATAAAGTATCTTGTAAAACAGCATCATAAAAACCAATATGACTTATGTATCCAGCTTATTTGGCAATGCTAGGCTCAAATATTGAAATTACAAGAGCTCAGTCAAAAATACTAAGAATTCACTGGTGCCCCAGGATATTAAATGAATTACACCGAATTAAAAATCCCTAGTTAAAGCTGAATTACAATAAGAAAAAAATAATAAAAAGCGACAGAGCTGATAATCCTTAGCAAGAATCTCCCACTTCTATCCATTACTTCCCGTCTAAAAAGAACTGACCGTCCATCCGTTAATTAATATTCAACAGCTTGAAGTAAAAACAGCACCTTTCTTTTTAGTAATCTGTTAAAGTTGAACCACTTTCTTAAGAAACCACCTAACATTCACTTTAATGAAATTTAACCCATTAATCTAAGTGAGGTTCGTGATATAAGGTTTACTTATTTTATTTTATTTTATACAATGTATAATTAAAATAAAAATTTGTAACATTATGTAATTAGTTATAAGATTTTACAACTTATTGTTAGTCTCATTTTAAGAGAAGATGCAATAAATAAATGTGTGTTTTAAAAAAAAAAAAAAAAAAAATTTTTTTAGCGCCAAAATTATTCACATGAATTAAAAAATTTTGTGCACAAACTCAACCGGCATATTTCATGCGTTGCCAATTATTTTTAAACGTGATCCGTATCGTTTCAGCAAAGATAATCCAGATCATTGAGCGGATCATGTTTGCTGAAACGCAGCTAATGTTACACATTTGTTGCGTACTGAATTGCAAGCACTTACCGTATTGTAACATTTAATTTATTTACTGTTAATTTTTTCTTGCCGTGATTTTTCTTTTATAGAAATGTACTCTCAAAAGTTAAAATTCTTGATCATTTCGGATGGAATTCTATTCAGAATATAATAGAACGTTGCCTTTTTCATTCTGGCAATTAAAAAAAATTTCATTATAAATTGCATTATAATGCAATTAAAAGTTAAAATTAATGTTCAAACTTTATTATTTTATAAAAATGAAAAGAAAAACATATTCTAAGCTGACATAAAACGATTTTATGTATTACAAAATAAATATTAGGAATAAGCATTCCCTAGGATACAGATACATCTTACTAGTAATTTAACAGATAAGGAAAAGTAAACAAATTGAAAGGCTTACCTAAACGAGTCGTAGGTTTTCAGCAAAATAAGCCTGCGGTTCGTTTATGTAACTTCCTTACTTCGTTTTCTCGAACGCTTTTCTCACTTTTGACTTTTAGTTACTCGCAATGTTTGTAAAAAGTGAGAAAAATCGTCCGAGAAAACTAAATGAGAAGGTTACATAAACGAGCATTACAATTGCTCTGCCGTGTAAAAGACCGATGAACCATTTATATATAAGTCTAGCGCTTTTCGTGTTGTGAATGGTGTTCTTTCAAGTGCAAATCACAATTAAAATATAAATGTGGCAACATTGATTTTCTGCAAAGTAGTGATTATAAAAATGTCGGACATAAAGTAAGTTTGATTATATTTAAATAAATAAATTTATTAATGTATTATGGGAATAGTACAGAGTTTAATTAGTTGTTTAAATTTTTAATATAAAATTATTTAATATATTTTATTTAAGCTGAGATATCTGATTTGGTTTTAGAAACTTTTTCTTACTAGTGTAGAGATTAAAGCCTGTTTTTTTTTTATTAAAAATGAAATATTTGTGTATGTAGTAAATTTAATATTTGTACAATATTTCTAAAATATTTTCAGCGATGAACTGTTTAATTATGAGTTAGGTGATGACATTGATGATCAGGCTGTACTGGGTGTAGATGAAGATGAGTTACTTCTTTCCGATGAAGGTTTTTTACCAAAAAAATATTGTCTATTATGTTAATTAACAGTTTTTTGTTTTAAGAATTAGAACAAAACGTTTCCAATGAGGAAAAGCAGAAAATTAAAGAAGATGCTGAACAGTGGGTGGAATCTCAAATTAATGAAGAATTTGATAGTAACAGTTTTAAAATAGTAAATATTAACAACGCAACAGATAAAGATTTAATGGAAGTAAAGATTATTGACCAAGGAAAATTATTAGCACATGAACAAACTGAAGTTACTCCAAATGCATGTCCACTTGCACTGTTAAATTTACCAACATTAAAAGCAACTACTGTCTCAAGAGATGATTATACTATACCATTATCTATATTAAAACAGCAGCAGGGACTGCAGGTGCCAAACATTAAAGAACAACATTTAACTATTTGTGACTCATATAAAAGCTCCATTGCTGACAAAGTAATAGCAAGTAATAATAACCCATTATACAGAGATCTTTCTTCTATAACAAGTTGTTCAACGAATATCGGTATGGATATATCTGCTTCTTTACAAACTTCTCAAGAAAGTTCTGAAGATATAGTTACGTTATGCAGTAATAATGACGATTTTGAAGATAATCGTGAAAAAAGAACGAATATAAAAACAACAAGTGAACGCAACGTAGAATCAACCACAGACCTAAAGGGTAATGTAATATATATATGAATAATGTATTAATTTATAGAAAATATTTATGTTTAGATAAAATACGTTTTGTTTCAAATAAACGTAATATATCTTATCAAATAAGACCTCATGGAATTCGAAATGCATCATTTTTTACTCAACGTCCACTTTTAAGATATCCTCACGGTAATTTTCCAATTGTGACAAATCCTTGTTTTTCATTAAAAACATTAGCTCACACTCCTAATACCGTTCTTCCAGGTCAATTTCTGCCTCAACAGTCTTCAAATCTATATACAACACATAGCACACAAGCATCCAATTTGGCTTCTAACCAAACAGTAAATGTAAACAACCTTCATGGCACCCCTAATCAACTTGATCCTTTAAATTCGAATCATATGCCACACTTACGTAGTTCATATCCAGCTTTTCGAACACCTGTACCAATTAATTTTAGGCTCCCTAATCCAGGAATATATAATCACGTGCCTCATGACTACAGTGTAACTAGCGGATCAGCATATAATTCGAATTTTGTACAAAACCAAACACCATCGCGTCCCATATATCGCCCTGAAATAAGCATGCAATCTGGTTTACGTGCTGGGACTCGTATTCAACGTCCCATATTACAATCTGTATCCAATCAGAACTATATTAATAGTCCAATACGCGTTCAACAGATACAGCATCATACAGTTACCATGCCATCAAATATTCAAACTAGTGGTTCAGGAATATCAGTGTCTTCTATACAGCAGTCAT